TTACTGAATGGCTTTAATTTAGAACAGGGATTGTGTTATCGTTGCTTTATCTTTTTCTGACTTTTTGGCTCATCTGAACATAAGTGCTGATTTGTTCAAAGGACTAAAATTGGCTTAAAAAAGACATCTTTAATATGGATTCCGTGTTCAAGGCTTTTGTTTATCCTGGTGCAGAGGTGTTTGTTTTAAAGTGGTAGAGCTAATTGTCCAACTTCAGATTTCCCATAAAATGTGTAACATTACCCAGATGGCAAATGATGATATATACATTTTAAACATGAATATTTCTATTGGGCCAGATGGTGATTTAACACGAATTGTTGAACATTTATGTTTCTTATTAAGCTGTCTTCTTTTGTCTAAGCTAAGCTAGCAATGTAATTTGGAACACACTGAGGAATCACTAAAGGACAACGACAATAAAAAACCTAGACACTAAGTGGCAGACGGCATTTGCTCCATATGCCACGTGAAGGTACAGAGCCGGTGCTTGCATTGCCTTCAAGAAGCTTTGTCCCTACTCTTAAGGAAATACCTGTTGGAACACCCTACAAACCATCCCTCTGCTTTCCTCTCCCTCCCCAAGCCCTGCTTACCTGATATTTTGCATTGTAGCCTTCCTGTTGAGGGCCTTACAGGAGATTAGGCAGGTGTGCTTCCTCAATGCCCTGCACTCATGCAGAAAAGCAGTTTTAGTTCTTCCTTAGGCCTTTCTCTTTCCTGCTATCTGGTGTAACGCTCTTGTTTGTTTTGGGCTCCACCCAGACTATTACTTCCTCTTATGATGCCTGAGCTTGGCAGAGACATGGGTCATTTGTGGAATAAGTCATGTGCCCACATGGCTCCTTAAAGGAAACGCTCCCTGCCTGTTAAGGCAACACAGAACACAGTAACTGAGCCTGTAGGGCCCCTCAACAGTGAGGCTTGGGTTGACAAACTTTAGCTGTTCTCATTTTAACATAAAGCTTTGAGTGTTTCCTACAGTATCAAATCTCTGCAGGTTTCTTTCTTCTGAAACTTATGTGAAAATCTGAGTAACACAGAATATGACATACTGAGGCCATGGCAGGAGACCCATTGTTGTTGCATCCTAAATTTGGTCAGAACGTCTGTTTTTAGGAATACAAAGAAGTTGCTTAAAATTCAAGCTTTTTTTTTTTTTTATTTAAGTGGAAGCTTTCTTTTAGAGACCTCTCATAACAAGAATAAATATTACATAAACAAACAAAAGGATACAGAAGACGACTCTTAGAACACTTGCAAACCTGTTTTGGTGCCAGTATGATCACATTGAAGCTGCCCAACATACATTAAGAACAATTAGATGTTGTCATTTGAGACACCTTTTGTTGGCCTTCCTGGTGGAGATAGTAAGCTAGGGCATTAGAAGCTACTGTTGTCTCCCAAGGTCCGGCATTGTTTACATCAGATAATGAGAATGGAATGCTCAGGAGCTGAATATAGATGATGCTTCATATTTTATTTTTCCTATTTGTTGATAAGGATTCATCAAGGTGTTCTTTTCTGATCATGTTATGGGAAATTTAAAACAACAAATTGAATTGGTTTGGAGCTGTGCATTGAAGGGTAGTCATAGCAGGAATTGAGTACGAGTTCAATGGGTGTAAGTGTGTACGTAAACGTGTATGTGAAAGTGTATGTAAAAGTATACCAGAGTACCCACTGTCATCACCACCACAGTCACTACTACATCATTCACAGAACTTACTTTATAAATAATTCTAGAGTCAGTCTTAAACCCAAGTCCTTTTATTGTTATACGGCATATATTGCACATGGCGAGTAGTCAGTTTCAAACCTGCCATGAGGAAGAACCTAGCAGCTTCCTTGTTTTAATGAAGCTGTCTATGATTTTGGTAGAAAGTTAACTAGTTCATTCTTTCTGCCCATCTAGATAGTCCCAGCGTTATCTAAGCTCCCACTACTGTTAGGTCCACAACTTCATTACTATCCACTGACCTGGAGTTTGGTCTCACCCATAGCAATAGTAAGTCCCATTGCCATCAGCATGCGTAACAATATGTGCATCCTTGACATTTATAGGGAGCTCTCTTTCACACAGCTCACTTGATGTACTAACATCTGTATGACAGTAGTAAGATGGAATTATACTAAATTTATAAATATACCACCTGAACCTCTTAGACATTATCATCTGATGGGAAGGAAAAGGGGAAAAAAGAAAGAACAAGAATTATATAAACTCTTGGTGTGATTGTATTAGATTATTTTAAACTAAATTCCACTAGAGACTTTCTTTCCATCCACGAGGACTGGGTTCTAAGGATAGTCTGCAGCAGTCTGATTTGTGAGCAGTTGTTCCCACCATAAATTGCTTCAGTGCTCTTTCAATTCTTGTGTGAAAAAGACAACTGGATAGTTTTTTTTTTTACCCCAGGATCTCCTAACAAGGAAGAAGCCTCCTGCCCAGTCAGTCAGCAGAAAGTGAGGGTAGTGTGTCAGGGTGGCATCAGGGCGCAGAGACACTTGAGTTTCTCTTACTGATCTTCTATACTTTCCACACCAGTTCTTAAAAGAGGTTGGAATAGGTACTGCCTATATTATTCGCATAACGTACCTGGCTGCTAACTGAAATGTCGCAGGTTCGAATCTACCGAGAGAATCTACCTACCTTGATCTACTTCCGAAAAATCAGCCATTGAAAACCCTATACACACAGCTCCACTCTGGCATGTATGAGGTCACCGTGAGTCGGAATAGACTCAATAGCAATTGGTATTTAAAGAGAGAGAAACTAGAATTTGATTAAGATTGTGTGATCATGTATCCCTTTAATTTTTAGTGCTGGCATTTAGTAGATGTGACTGCATTAAGCGCCTCTTCAATTCCTTTGTCTGATAACTCCAGTTTGGTAAAAAGTCTAGAAGGGACACTCTGTTGTATTTAAATTCACTGAAAAGAAATATCCTTATCTGTGAAATAGGGATATTTTATCTTTACATGGTTATTTTGAGGATCAGTTTGTATACATAAAGTACATAGAACAGTGCCTGGCAGAGAGGAAGCCCTTAGTAGATATTGGCTTAAAAACAATTATCTATGCCTTAGCCAGTTCTAAAAGCCACAGGTGCTGTTTTAACTGTACCTGACTGTGTGTGCTTTACACTATGTATTATACTCTTCAAGGCTATAGTAATGAATATGAACCCCATGAGGAGGGGTTCACAGCATTTAAGATTCCAACACCAACCTTTAGTCGAGGGTAGAGGTGGCCTCTGCCATCCAACTAGCTGTGCTGCCTCCAGGCTGGGTGGCCTACTTCTACTTTGTTGGGTAAAAATAGTTTAACTGCTCACTGAAGCAACAACCATGTTATTTTTATCCTTGGGAGGCTGAAAGTAGTAGAGCTGTACACATACTGGGCAGTCCAGCACTGTCAGCCGCAGCAGAACCAAAAGACGAAGTTTTAAATTTGAGCCCACTGTCTCCACTGGCCATCAGGCTCCAACTCCCATTCCCCCTATACCTTGATCTTTCCAGAGTCTCAATTTCATTTTATTATCCTCAGTATAGGTGATTTGTTAAATGGAAACTGTTAAGGATTGAATTGTGTCCCCCAAAATATGTGTTGGAAACCTGTGGATGTAATCCCATTTGGGAATAGGGTTTTCTGTGTTATGTTAATGAGGCCATACAGTGTAGGGTGTGTTTTAAGCCAATCACTTTTGAGATATAAAAAGAGATTAGGCACAGAAAAAAAGCAAGCACAGATGGGGAAGATAGATGCCATGGCACATGAAAATTGCCAAGGAACCCAGGAACAGAAGCTCAAAGGAGTCAAGGACCTTCCCCCAGAGCTGACAGAAAAAGCCTTCCACTAGAGCTACTACCCTGAATTTGGCCTTCTAGCCTTCTAAACTTTGAGGGAAAAAAAAAAAAAATTTCTATTCGGTAAAGCCACCCAACTTGTGTTATTTCTTATAGTGGCACTAGATAACTAGGAAGTTGATTTAAATTTCCTATCTCTGTTTAGACTTTTCCAAAAACTAAAGTTACAAATCAGAAAAATTGCTTTTGACACATTTTTGTTTAGGAAAGTCTGGATGTGGTATCTATCCTGGTCACATAGGCCACACTTCTCTTGTCTTTTATTAAATCAAAATAACCATTCCCTCACTATAAGATTCTCCTATATCTTAAAATGTTAATACCTCCAACCCCCCCCCCCTTTTTTAGAGGATCATTTATGATTTCTCAGGAATGCACCTGGTGGGCACTACTGTCGGGGGTAGAGCCCCTTCTCCAGCTCTTCTAGTGGGCAGCCCCTCGTGCCATGTGTCACAAGATTACTGCTAGCTGGAATTTCTCTTTACCAGTTTGCTCATGCCTCAGGAGCTAAAACTCAAGAGGAAATTGTTTTAATAAGTGAGCCACAGAGAGACCAGAGTAGCAAGAAATGATGGGAGGAGATAATCAATCCGATGTAGGAAAAAGTAAAAGAATGGTGATACTTCATAACGGCTAGACTGACAATTTGACTTAGGGATTTTCCCTGCAGTAAACTAGAAACTTGCTGAGTAAGTTTAAAAAAAAGCCTGTGTGTTCAGTCATGTTTTCCAAGCCCCATTTCTCACAATAAACTAGTGGCTTGTAGTGCTCGCTCTAATTTCTATATTCCATTAAACAAGTTGTGGGTTTCTTTTAATTCAAACACTTTAATGTGCAACTTTTGTTTCTCTGCCCTTTAGTGACCTCTACCATCACCAAGTCATTAATAATCCAAGTAGTAAGTCATTAGTTGGATAGCTGTATGTTTGTAGGTTGTTTTTTGTTTTTTTAATGAATAGATTCATTGAGTGGGATTAATTGCATCTTTTCTTGAACATTGGATCTGTGTTCCCATTCAGATTTTCTTTGCATTCCCCTCCCCCATCAACAATGGCATACTGTGAATTTATGTGGTATCTGCCTTAACCATGGTCTGTCTCTCTCTCTCTTTTTTTGTGTTTTCAACATAGGACATGGATTTGATTGACATACTTTGGAGGCAAGATATAGATCTTGGGGTAAGTCGTGAAGTATTTGACTTCAGTCAGCGGCGCAAGGAGTATGAGCTGGAAAAACAGAAAAAACTTGAAAAGGAAAGACAAGAACAACTCCAAAAGGAGCAAGAGGAAGCCTTTTTTGCTCAGCTACAACTAGATGAAGAGACAGGTGAATTCCTCCCAATTCAGCCAGCCCAACACATCCAGTCAGAAACCAGTGAATCTGCCAGCTACTCCCAGGTACAGAGTACTCAGTTCTTGGAAAGGTCTATGGCAGGGTTTAAGGAAACAATATTGACTTAGGAGTTAAAATATCTGGATTTGAGTTATAGCTTTGCTTCTTAGTATGTCATGACCTTGTCAACTTCCCAACCTCAGCCTCCTTATCAGTTCAGTCTGGGCCTGCTTACCTCACAGAGTTATTGTGTGAATTAAAACCCACTGCCCTCGAGTCAGTTCCAACTCATAGTGACCCCCTAGGGTTTCCAAAGCTGTAGATCTCTATGGAAGAAGACTGCCACATCCTTCTCCCATGCAGCTGCGCATGGTTTCGAACCTCCGACGTTTTGGTTAGTGGTCAGTCGCTTTAGCCACTGCACCACAAATTACGTAAGAGTTTTGTAAGCTATAGGAACATCATGTAAGGTTCAAGCAGCAGCTACAGTAGTAGTGAGTGGCAGTAGCCGAACTAGCGATAGGGATTACTTATGGCACAATGCTCCAGGTACTAGACATTTACCAACTGATTTAAAACAGCTATTTGAATTTTAACTACATTTCATCTACAGATGAGCATTTGAGGCTCAAATAGGTTAAATAACATGCCCAGAAATTGGGGGAGCTAGGATTTGAACCCAGGTAGTCTGGTTTGATTCTGTGCTCTGAACTACTATGACACTAAACTGACTTCTGAAATCAGAAAACTGTTTGATTAACTACATTGTAAGCATTTTATGAGCATCAACCATGAACCTTTAGCTTGGCAGTAATACATTTAACATTCTTTTTTATGTCTTTCCTTCTTATCCAGGTTGCTCACATTCCCAAACCAGATGCTTTGTACTTCGATGATTGCATGCAACTTTTGGCAGAGACATTCCCGTTTGTAGATGACAATGAGGTATAAAACATTTGGTTAACAGCAAAACTCTACAACTAAATCAGTATGCCCTATATGGGTCCCTTTAACGTCTCTCCATTTAAAAGAATGAAAAAAAAAACCTTATTACTACTGCATAGCCAGAAACATGGATCAGCATAACCATGGATACAAGTAACCCATTTGTTTCAGTTACCTAAAAATAAATTTTTGGTGAGTAAAGAGCAAGCTGGGTAATAAACCAAGACTTATTCAATTAACAGTTTCAGTAAACCTATTGTGTTTGAAGCGTTGTACTAGATATTATATGGAGGGATGTATGTTAAATCCTAAAGATTGTTCTTACCCATTTTGAAGTTTACCTTAAATGCACAGGATGAAACAAGTAAGTAGATAAATAAGGAGTAAATTTGGAGTCAGTTGGGTAAAAAAAAGAGTTGTTTCATTATATAGAAATAGGGATCACAAGTAGTAATAAGTAGAGAAATAGGGAATTGAAGGTGATTCCAGTTTAAGTATCATGATGGTGACTTGCTCACTCTTTCCCTGTTGGTAGTGGACTCAGGTCGATAAATACTTTGTCAATTTTAGGTTTCTTTGGCTACGTTTCAATCACTTGTTCCCGATATTCCGAGCAACGTTGAGAGCCCAGTCTTCACTGCTCCTAGTCAAACTCAGTCACCTGAAACTCCTGACCTTCAGGCAACTATTGCCCATATAGACGATATGCTGCAGGACGTTGATCAAGTTTGGGAGGAGCTATTATCCATTCCAGAATTACAGGTAACCGAGAGCTAATATAAAACCTTAGACTCCATTTTATATTCAGTGTCTATAAATTAGTCATTCACATGATTTATCATTTATATGTCTCCCTCTTATAGAAAGGATTGGAGGATATTTTTACATTAGTCACAAGAGCTGCCCATGCTCACTTAATGTGAACTTTTGTTAGTTAAATGGGCTGGATATGTTGAGGATAGATCAGGTTATACACTTTAAGTCTGATCTAGGAACTCTGAAAATAATATGTATGTTTAGGCATAAAATTACAGAAGAGAACAGCTTGGAGAGAAGTGGGGTGGGGGGAGAGAGTTTACCTAAGCTTACAATCAGATATGATTAGCTACTATTAAATGGTTTATGGAACCCTGGTGGCATAGTGATTAAGAGTTTGGCTGCTAACCAAAAGGTCGGCAGATCAAATCCACTAGCCACTCCTTGGAAACCCTGTGGGGCAGTTCTGCTCTGTCCTGTATGGTTGCTATGAGTCGGAATTGACTCGACGGCAATGGGTTTGGTCTTTGGTTTTTATTGAATGATTTCAAAATACTTAACGTATATATAGTTTATAGTCTAAACTTCTTTTCCATGCAGTGTCTTAATATTCAAAATGACAAGCTAGTTGAGACTAGCACTGTTGCAAGTCCAGAAACTAAACCTACAGAAATTGGCAACAATTATCATTTCTACTCGTCAATCCCCTCACTGGAAAAAGAAGTGGGTGACTGCAGTCCACATTTTATCAATGCATTTGAGGATTTCTTTGGCACCATCCAACCCACAGACAACACCAACCAGTTGACAGTGAACTCATTAAATTCAGATGCCACGATAAACCCTGATTTTGGTGATGAATTTTATTCTGCTTTCATAGCAGAGCCCAGTATCAGCAACAGCATGCCCTCCTCGGCTACTTTAAGCCAGTCACTTTCCGAACTTCTAAGTGGGCCCATTGATGTTTCTGATCTATCACTTTGTAAAGCTTTCAACCAAAACCACCCTGAAAGCACAGCAGAATTCAATGATTCTGACTCTGGCATTTCATTGAACACAAGTCCCAGCATGGCATCACCAGAACACTCAGTGGAATCTTCCATCTATGAAGATACACCGCTTGGCTTCAGTGATTCTGAAATGGAAGAGAAAGATAGTGCCCCTGAAAGTGTCAAACAGAATGGTCCTGAAACACAGCCATTACAGTCTTCTGGAGATACAGTCCAACCCCTGTCACCATCTCCAGGGCACAGTGCTTCAGTGCATGACGCCCAGTGTGAAAACACCCCAAAGAAAGAATTGCCTGTAAGTCCTGGTCATCGGAAAACCTCATTCACAAAAGACAAACATTCAAACCGCTTGGAGGCTCATCTCACAAGAGATGAGCTAAGAGCAAAAGCTCTCCATATTCCATTCCCTGTGGAAAAAATCATTAACCTCCCTGTTGATGACTTCAGTGAAATGATGTCCAAGGAGCAATTCAATGAAGCTCAACTTGCATTAATTCGAGATATACGTAGGAGGGGTAAGAATAAAGTGGCTGCTCAGAATTGCAGAAAAAGAAAACTGGAAAACATAGTAGAACTAGAGCAAGATTTGGATCATTTAAAAGATGAAAAAGAAAAATTGCTCAAAGAAAAGGGAGAAAATGACAAAAGCCTCCACCTACTGAAAAAACAACTCAGCACATTGTATCTTGAGGTCTTCAGCATGCTACGTGATGAAAATGGGAAACCTTATTCTCCTAGTGAATACTCCCTGCAACAAACTAGAGATGGCAACGTATTCCTTGTTCCCAAAAGCAAGAAGCCAGATGTTAAGAAAAACTAGATTTGGGAAGATGTGACCTTTTCTGAGCTAGTGGGGTTTTTTGGGTTTTTTTGTACTGTTATACTAAAAGCTCCTACTGTGATGTGAAATGCAGAAATATACTTTATAGGTAATTCTATGCAAGATTATAGCCAAAACTAGTGTAGAAAATAATATAAAACTTCAAAAAGCATTAAAATAAAAGTTACCAATATGTTGAATCAGTAGTTTAACTGCAAACTTAATTTCTTAGAACACCATTTGGGCTAGTTGTTTCTATGTAAGTGTAAATACTAGAAAAACTTATTTATACTGTTCTTATCTCATTTGATACATTCACAGATTTATATGATGATATGACATCTGGCTAAAAACAAATTGTTGCAAAACTAACCACTATATACTTTTTTTAATAAATACATTATGAACAAAAAATGGCATTTTTTATATTAAATTGTTTAACTCTGGCAAAAAAAAAATTTAAAAAGCTGGTACTAATAAAGGAATATTATAACTGTTAAATTAGTTCTTCACGATTCATTTTAATTGAGTTTATCCACACAGTATGTTCCACAAGACATTTAAATACATTCAAGACATTTAGTAGTTTTGCATTTTCATTAGTTTTATTTGAAAATATAAAAGCATTTTATACTAAACTTACAGCGCCAGTGATATATATGTACAACAGACATATCTTAACCAAGAAAATGTTATACCTTGATATGAAACCATTCATTCATTTATTCACATCAACAGATGCATACCTTCTGTGTACTAGGCACTGTTAACAAAGTACAGTGGGCAAAACAGAAATCGGGGCTTCGAACCGGTTTGTTCCAGTTCAAACCCCTGCTGAGAATTTGCTTTTCCGCTCCGTATACTGAACCACAGTCTACATTTTAACAAGATCCCCGGGGTGATTTCTTATGTATAATAAATTTTGAGAACCACTGCTCTACTAGTGGTTCTCAGAATTGGTCCCTAACCAGCAGCAACATTAGCATCACCTGAGAACAAACCGGGTCAAATCCCTGACAGAAATACCTGCCCTCCTGGAACTTACATTCTAGTCGAGGGGAGATAGCAAACATACTACATACAGTATGTTACAAGAGACAGGAGGATTGGGAAGGCCATTGAAAAATATTGCGATTAGGGTTGTAGATAGAAAAATCTTTATTGAGGTGGCAACATTTCGAGGTGTGGGAAAATAAGCCATTCTGTTAGCCAAGAACACTGCAGACAGCAAACAAGTACAAAAGCTCTAAGGACCGTCTGACAAAGACGATAATGCAGCTGAAGGGAAAATAGAGCCAGAGGGGGCACGGGTGCCATGGCAGAGAGCCTTGTAAGACTGTTAGCTGCCCTCCAGTTTTCTACTCACAGTGACCCCATGTGACAGAAGTGCCCCACAGAGCTTCCTAGGCTGCAGGTCCTTTATGAGGACTTTATAAGTGGGAAATATTAGAGGTGTTAAGCTGGGATAACATCTTACCTGGTTCTTAATAGTTCCCTCTGGCTCGTGTTGAGAATACTCAAATGACAATGCGAACATGCTAACGGAAACCGATTGGAAGGCTCTGCCATATTCACACGCTGCTCGTTTCACGGTGGTTAGCATAGATGGTGAAACGGCACTGGATTCTGCATGTGTTCGAAAGTAGAAAGGATTTTCTGGCAGAATGGATGTGAAGTAGAGTGTCACGGATTTAACCATCTTGAACTGAATTGCAGAGATTGAGAAAAATGGATTGAGGTGGTCTAAGTGAGATGACGTTTACTTTTGAAGTTTGAGCTCTAAAAACATCTAAATGCATCAGTTGCTGCGGAGTCGATTCTGACTCATGTTAACCCCACATATATCAGAGTAGAACTCTGCTCTATTGCATTTTCTATAGCTCATTCTTTGAAGTTATCACCAGGCCTTTCTTCCAAAGCACCTGAGTGGACCCGAACCTCCCTTTTGGCTAACCACCCAGGGGCTCGATACATAGAGCCTACAGTTCCTCAAAATTGTGTTGATAATCTGCATACTGTATTACCGTAACCACTGCTTTATACAACTGTTCATACGTTTTAGAGTCCCCCCCTTTTATAGAAATGAGACTCATCTGCAGGTTAAGTGTATGTTTAGAGTAGGTACTACATGCAAATTACTGATGGAAAGTCCCGACAGTCCATTAGAAACTGAAGTGTAGGTAGTAAAGACCACAGGCCTTGGAATGAGTGTATGTGTGCGCAAAGTACTAAATGAGTTACTTACTGTGCTGCATAGGAAGTACTCAATGAGTACTTTCCCAAAATTTCTTTAGCCTTGTATTAGGATGTTTTTGGCTTCCATAAAAATGCAAGTTAAATTAGTAAAATAATTTGAGTCAAGACTCTGAAGTCCAGGGTTGGAAATAACTTCCAAGGATCTAGGGATTCAAACATGAAGATTATTTCCTGAATATTTTGCTGACCTCTTCCTCCTGGGGTTTAAGAACCTCTTCTGCTGGTAGTGACAGGGTAATGGATCCCTGAAGGAAATATCACTTTTCCAACTTCAGAACATAGAAATCACAACTCTCTTAAGTTCTCACCTGGGCTGGTGGTAAGAATTCCTTAGCAGCAGCCGTATCTGGAGCACTGAAGTAGCTAATACTTAAGGGGAATTAGCGTTGCTAGCCAGATCACAGCCCTGACAGCTGACACCTGCATTCATGTGCAGAACTACTCAAATTTTATATCAAAGTATTTTGCTTAGTTCATACAAGATAACTGACCATAGAACCTTCTTATAGTACCAACACTCTTTGAACTACTAAGCCTATTGCATTATGTACACTTAAAAATTTTGTAACAAATCCTATCTAAAATTTTTTTCTCTTGATCTGGATTTGAAATATTCCAGGTATCAGAGTTTGATGCCAGTCTTCAGAGTAAGTTTAGCTATCCAACTGATAAACCTTATTTGAGCTGTGTCTAACTTGTTCAATTCTGTAATTATAAAATATGTACCTAAGCCTTTCATGTTGAGGTGTTAAGCATTAGAAATCTTAATTGCATAATACTGCATGTTACACAAAAACCCATTTTCTTAAACAGATTTCTTCTCAAGCCCATGCTTTTGAGGGAAGTAGGGGGCTCTGCTCAAATGTACCTGCCATTAAGCCTCAGAAACATAATACAAAAACCAGTAATTCTCGTTCCCAAATGAATTTATCACGCCAGTTTCAATTTTCAGTTGATGAACTGGAAAAAAAAATTAAAGACCATAAAACTTCAATCCTATCTGTGGAAAAGTCAAGGGAGGAAAAAAAAGACATTGGCATGTCACCCATTAAAATTTTAGGTTTGCTTCAGAATACTAGTTAAGACAGGACCCATTGTTATTACCAAATATACTATTTTTAGAGACTCTAGGACAGGCACACTGGCTTAAGCTCTTTAAGCCAATTGTCACATTTAACCTTCAGTTATTCAGGGTTGGCATTATCTCCACTTTACAAAAAAGGAAATGGGTATAAACAGTTCTTAACCTGAACAGAACTTAGAATTTTGATGAGAAAGTTACATCTTTATTTTCACTAACATTTAACTGAAATTTAGCATTTTAGGCAGCAAACAAGTGGTATTCACAGTACTTGTAACTATCATCAGTTTAAATCATTACCACTGTAAATCATCTCAAAATTATCATTTATGCATCACAACTTCAAAGTCAAACCCATCGTTAGTTGCTGTCAGGTGACTCATAGCGACCTTGTATGTAACAGAAAAGCTCCCCAGTCCTGCCTCATTTAATGTTTAAAAACACATTACTAAATCTAACTTATTTTGCTTATTTTCAGTGTGATTTTTTAGTAATTCTACATATTTTAAGCACTTACAATCAGCATTATTTTAAGGGGTCTGTTGGTGTCACCAAACTGCCAGAAGGGGGCACAGCATATAAGAACTCAAGTAACTTGCTTGAGATCACAAAACTATACTTAAGCTTTGTACTTATTTCTTACTGATCGGAAAAACCCAATATACAGAGACCAACTAAACCCTAATTGCGTTTTCTTCCACTACCTATTAAATGAGGCCTTAATCAACCATTCACAAGATGACAAGCTAAGGAGGCGCAGGGATGCTAGATTAAACAGAACAAAAAGAATGGAAATAATGAAAATGCTGACACATGAAAAATATAACCGATGTTTCGGAACAAGTTGTATAAAAATGGTTAAGCGGTAACCTAATTTGCTATGTAAACTTTCACCTAAAACAGTATTTTTTTAAAAAATACCATGGCTTGGGTCAGGCACACGTTAGTCAGACATTTTTGCTTTTTTATCACTTTAAAGGGTCTTTTGCAGTAGATTTAAGGATTAGTGAGCAAAAATTTAGTAAATTCTAAATGCTATTACGGAAGTTGGAATGATAGTGTAAGACAGCTTCCTTGAAAAGCTAGTCCAAGTTAGAGGGAAGACAAGGTAAAATGAGAGAGACCAAATCATGGGAGCACTGGAAACTTTGAAAGTAAAAACTATCTGGTAGGAAGAGCTAAAAGTTCTTGAGCAGGGGATTAGGATGACAAGCCTGGAAAGAGCACTACTTTGGCATTCATAAGCCAACTTCTCAGGTATACCTGAGAACCTGTTGACAACTGTAAAAAGAGGCTGTCCAGAAGATGGAAACCTAAAGAATCCCTACAAAACAAGTTAATATTTTCAATGATAGGAGAGCACTGAACTGTGGTTAGCTGTCTAATCCAGTTAAAGGGCAGTGAGTTAGAACAGGTGAATTTTAACACGGAAGTGGCTACAAGTGGTTCCATATTGTTTGATGCTATTCTCCTGCAGTATGTATCACAACCACACTAAAGAACATCCAGTAAGGGAAAACAAATAATTAGCTTTCCCCACTCCCCTCCCTCTCAAGATTAAAAATCCAGTACTCCCAACATGTGGAATCCCCTTTTCCCAACTTGTTTCATTGATTCTCTTAATTATCCTAACTACTCTTTTTCTCCCCTCCCCCCAACAAAAAGATTGATTCCCATGTCACCCAACTATCTCATATATTCTTTCAAGAACCAAATCCTTTGAAGCAACAAATGCTAAGTGGTTGTAAACTTTCAACTGTTCAGTAGTAACCATTATTACATGCCTATTCTCCATGGCAATTGTTTTCCATCAAATGGAACTGACAATCTTTTTAAATATATGTATATAAAGGCACACTCCAAATTCCCTTTTATTACTTGCTAGTAATGTATTTAATATTCACCTATAGCATTTAAATCACATGAACACTGTGAAGTGACAAAACACACACATTTCTAAAAATACTTTAATGAAAAAGTTATCTTTCTGTAAACATTTTGTTATACTACAAACGAAACATTTGAATCCATTACACACCACCTCTTAAGTCTTAAAAAAAAAAAAATCAGGAAACACTGAAGTTGTAAAGGAATTTAGGTATTCAGATAGGCTAACAACCCTTTAATTACCCCTCCATATTAGCATGCTTATTCACTACTTTTGTGACATCAACTATTGGAACTCCAGAGATACCGTCATTAGAAATATTTCAGATTGCAACTACTATATACCGCAACTCTAAAAACCAACCTTATTTCAATTCTTTAGTCCCTTAACAAATAGTCTTTATTACCACACAGAAATATTCTCCTTTAGGATGTGTAAATCAAGCTTTTAAAAATTAAATGTATTAGAAGCAGTAACCTACAACCTGGCTTAACATTAAAGTTTACCTTGATCATTTCCCCGTTACATAACTTTGTTTATTGTTGCTACCAACTTAAAGATTTATGACATTGGATTTTTGAGAAATGACAATGGAACTACATTTATATAAAATCATTTTATTACATAAAGAAAAGAGACGGACAGGAAAGACAGACCACCACCTTTAAAAAAAAAAAAAAGGCTTCATATCTTAGGAAATTTGCTTCACTAAAATAAAATGTCATCAGTTTGTCATTAAAAGGCCTTACCCAACACACTTAATTCTACGGTGATGTAAAAGAATTCAGTCCTAATTCTGATACATAAAGAGAGCCAACCGTTTTCTGAGAACTAATACATTCTGTGGTAAATTGGATACTGTTTATGTAGGAACTTGACCTATAATTTAGAAACTAGTTTATTTTGAGCATCTGTCCCCTAAAGTGTTCATGTTAATTTAAAAAAGTGAAGTATAACATGCCGTTTTCGGCAGCAAAAATAGCCCTTATGAAAATCAGCAATTGATTTGAATGGTAGTTTAGTAATACTTTAATTATCCTTTGGGAAAGGGTATTTTAATGGAATATTTGGTAATTAGGCTTCACTGTTTCTGGTTAACATGTTAAAAAAAAAAAATTCATCCTATTGGTCCAAATAGTCCCCTGAATTTATATCTAAGAGCATGTACGTATGAGGCCACTTGACCGAAGACCCTCTTTGTATTTACATAAACTGACAATTATGTAACTTCAAGATGTCTTCCTAGAATGGGGACTGGCTGCTTAATACTTCTGTTACAAGTAACTCTTACTAAACTTTTCACAAAATTTGAGGTTACTCTTATCTTTCCCCTACCAAAACTGAGTTTACCCTAAAGATATTAACAATGAATTGTACGTATGAAGAAAAAGGGCCCCATATGACTCAAGATGAACGCTCATGGCAATTGCAGGGAAATTTAAAAAACTGTCTAAGGTTTGAATGTTGGCGATGGTTCCAAAAGAAAAATTTCAGCAGATGAATTCTGCCAATGTATCTTCTGTAAAGGGATGAATTAAGTTTTAAAATATGTAATATAGATTAAATTTGTAGTAAACAAATGGTTGTCATCAGGTTTTACTGTAAGCTACAAACCTTACCCAGCCAGAAACCTTCGTATATAAGATGGTAGGAAAGACATTCCTCATATAGGCAAGCAGGGTTCTCATTCAACCTGCAAATCAAAAAAATTACTCTTACCTTGCTTTACAAAAAATTACTCTTTTAATTAGTGAAAAAATTCAAATTCAAGCCTTACCTAATGCTTATTGCCCTTCCTTGCAGGTCTAAATGCTAGACCTACTGACTGTTGCCACTATCTCTCATTGATGCTCCAAAAGGCGAAGAGCTCCTGCTAGACTTTCTTCGTTATTTCAGCTGTAATAAGCAGATTTAACTAGCCTTTGGGAAGTTGCTCACTATCACCATAGTATCTTATGCCTTCACTTCTCTGTAGTTGAAGCTCTTGCTGCTGCCTTGTCATTCTTTATTTATGCTGACTTGTCCATACTCAAAAGGCTGCTGAAGTCCTGTCTTAGTGAGTTTCCTTTGATCCACACTGTGCTTAAAAAGCATGTCTTAGGTCCTTTAAAGCTGGTTAAATCGCTCTCCTCATGGCTTACTTTTCCACTCTTCACAAGAACTAAGCTAAATACAACTTATAAACAGGTCACATACACAGACTTCACCTGCTTATAGGTTGCAAACATCAACTTACTGAAAATGTTTTCACTATTAAACTAGTTCCAGAACAGAAAGTTTGTTAACAATACAATTAACCTCATATGCCATGAAAGGATACTGTCAAGGTTGTGGCCAAACAATTTCACAAACATAAAAACAGGAAATGTTCATCTTTCCCCCATTCCTTCAACCTTTATTATATGAATAAAAGAACTTGAGACAATTTAGCTCAATTTTAATAAAATGCTTCCCAAGCATTATTTTGACCAGGTACCCAAGTTTATGTTATGAACATTGACAGTGTCCAATTATAAAAACACACTTGAAGTTGTTAAGGACTTAACCATTTTCTAATATTAGCCTATTTTCTACACTGCTTATTCACGTATGCCCATTAACAGATGGAATGTTGTTACATTTATTGGTTTGTGTTTTCTGGAAAACTGTAGTTATCTGTGAAGACCGATTTCCATGCTGACATTGCATGCATCCAAATATTAATAATGCACAGAGGCACAGAATTAGAGCAATGAGATAGAGCATATTCAAACACTAGCATGCCCCATTCCCCTTTTTATTGCTTGTTTTGTTTAGTACTTCTTAAAACAAAAGAATCTCTGAATTGTGTTCAACTGTCAAAGAAAAAAATAACAGCAGGGCACATAGTTAGGGCTCAAATGAAATTGTTAAGCACTAGCTGGTGCCAAAACAGACATTGGTTTTTGTATATATATGACCTTATTATCTAAAACTCCTATCAACCACGGTCTTCCAAACAAATTGATAACTCATACCAACATGATTTAGGTTGAAACGGACATGGGGAATAACAGTGTGTTCTTTGGGAGTTTACACGAGAGTAAGAATTCAGATCATCCAAATTTGAATTCAGGCGTTTCAGAAGTGAGAAGCTTGTACTAAGCAACTGTGCTACATTTCTGCTGCATTAAGTTATTTCGGATGATTATACCTAGACTATCCTTGATTTCATCCAGTAAAATGCATAGAGTGCAAACAGGAAAACATACCAGCCAGTAAAGGGTTCAACAATACATGATTTTTATTCTCTTGCTCTGAGAGCTGGTATCAATTTTTAAAAAAAAATTAAACCAAGGGAAAAGAACTGAAAATTTATAAGCCTCTTGTGCTTCAAAAAGAATTTAAAAAAAAAAGGCAGCCACTAATTTGCTTGGGTACAGCAGGCTTAGTGGTCTGTATCTGAAGTTTTTTAAGAATGGTTTTTAAACTAGGAAGAAAGGGTAAAAAATCCACTACCCCAATCGAGAACTTTAGCAGAGGGCAGCAGACACTTTTTGCACCCAGATAAAATTACGGCAGCAGTTCAAATGTGACCAAAGTAAATGTATATTTTCTAAACACAGCTAGGACTCTTAGCAAAGCTAACACACTAAATCATATCTGATTACATTTTTAAAGAAAATGCACAAAAACCAAATAGGAATTTTGAGATTTTTCATTGAAGGTAAATCTTAACGCTATTAAATTCACAAATATACTAATTTAAATACCCAATCCTAGTTGTTATCTAAAACACACATTGCAAACATACAAATATCTATTCTCTCCACATGTCAGTGCCCATTCATATCATGGTTTGGAAATGAGGAGAACAGATTCCCCTTAAACTGCAAGTCAGCAGGTGTTTCTTTACAGTTAACTTTAGCAAAATTCATACAAAATAGTAATTAACAATGATCTTCTTTACTTGTTAACTCACAAGGAAACACCTTCAAAACTGCATTTTGTTAAAGTTTCTGTACTAAAATGTAGAAAAACTGAACTACACAAATATTGAAAAGTTAAAAATTCCTTAATTTTTTATTCCTGGTACCACTACCACAATTTACAGGGCAATATACCTGATGTAATGAAAAGAAAAAGAAAAAGACAAAGCTACAACAGATAAAAGACCTCAGGAATGTACATCTAATTGACACTACATTGCATTAATCAATAGCTGCACTTTTTGCAAACTGTGGCTATGACAGTCCTGAACAAGAAGGGTTTCCTGTTTAAGCTGCAGTAACTTTTCTGACTATGGATCATCGTTCCTTCTGTGGCAGATTTTTACAGTTCCTCTAATGCATTTGGGACGACTGTCTCAAAGTAACCTGCAGCTTTCCTGACAACTCCTCGCTCTCTCTCCTGCTAAGAACTGTAGCCTGTTGAATAATACAGGATAAAAAAATTATTACACTCAGTGAACAGTTCCACATATTTTTTATCATCATGATAAATACTGAAAGATACCTACCCTTTTCTGTTGAATTTTTAGAACCTTCTGCTACCATATCCACCACTTCCACCACCAGATCCATAACCACCTAGAAAAATACATGTGGAGTTTTTAAACAAACACATTAAATTTTTAAACTAAAAAGACTCTGAAAAATATGGATGGAGAAAAACTACCTACCTCCATAAGGACTGCCCGAGCTTCTTCCACCAAAACTGCCCCCCCCTTTCATGGGTCCATAATTTGATTGTTGTTGCCCACTGTAATTTCCAAAATCATTATAATTTCCACCACCATAGTTACCTGCAATTACAAAGGTTTTATTTATGGCTGACCTACACAGTATTTTTTCTTTTTAAATGCATGTAAACATTACATTATCTTTTGACAATTTCTGGTAAGTGTGCTCTCCCACACTTAGATGCAAGCCTTTGAAAACATTTTACAGCTACCAAATTTCCTCCACCACACACATACAGGCCCACTAGCAGACCTAAGGCTTAAGTAGAAAAGGAGGAAACAAACAAAAACAGTGAGAGATGATAAGAATAGCACACTTCTAGGTAAATATCAGATTAGAGGAACATCAATATCTTGCTTAGTACACCTCAGCACGTTCTCTTCACACCAAATTATTTAGTCTATACTAACACCATCAAAATTGCCATTGATTCACTGTAATTCTGCCATTTTAAATCAATGATAAAGCATTCCATTAACTTCTTTGGTATGGTCCAACAAAGTCAGTGTATTCACAGCAAGGCTTTCTAATCTACAGCCTCAAGCCCATTGCTGTGGAGTCAACTCCAACTCATAGCGACCACACAGGACAGAGCAGTGACCCTACAGGACAGAGCAGAACTGCCCCATAGGGTTTCCAAGGCTGTAAATCTTTATAAGAACAGACTGCCACATCTTTCTCCTGGGGAGCAGCTGGTGGGTTTGAACTGCTGATCTTTCAGCTAGCAGCCAAGCGCTTAACCACTGTGCCACCAGGGCTCCTTATCTATAATACCATGGGATAATGACTCCGATTTTCTTATACTCTGCAACATGAAGTATTAAAATCCAAAATACTTTTGTACCAATGTTAACTAGGCTCCAGATGGCACACCTTATTAGTAACTCTGGGTGTTCAATCTTCAGTTCCTACTTGTCTAGGTTAAAAGTGCCTGGAGTTAAGTAAAATTCTAGCAATAAATACATTACTGATTAAAAATATTTTAACATATGTATTACAAAATTGTAAGTGTCCACTACACAAATGGAAGAGTTTTGAATGTTTTATCATGATTAGCAAGTAAAATAAGAAAATTCCGTTTAATTACCCCACATTTAAGTACTTTTTCTAAATCTATAGTACATAAAATTTGACCAAATGTTAACTTTTACCCAAACATTTATAATAGAACTATAAAAAATGCTTATTTAACATTTAAATAGAACTTTGAATAGCTTACCACCGCCAAAATTTCCTCCTTCATTGTAACCATCATATCCACCACCGCCACCGTATCCTCCTCCACCTTGGTTTCCATATCCTGGTCCACCACCATAACCCCCTCTACTACTATAACCAGGACCACCGCCATAGTTGCCACCTAAAAAAGTGAGGTCACACAAAAACATTATAAATGCAGCCTACTAACACCCTGGGCTAATAAGAATATAAACGTTTAAATGTCGATTAAAACCTATTGTTTTCATTTTTACACTACAAAAAATACAGTCTCCTCCCAAGACAGACCATTACAGCTCAAATACTAACACTCTAAACCTTATGAATCAATAAACTGGTTGTCAATAAACTTTACTAGTCAACTCCAACTCATGACAATCCCAAGTATGTCAGAGTATAACTATGCTCCAGAGTTTTCAATGGCTGAGTTTTCCAGATCACCAGGCCTTTCTTCTGAGGTGTCTCTTGGTGAATTCAAACCTCCAACCTTACCCATTTGCACTACTCAACCAAAAAAACCCACTGCCATCAAGTTGATTTGACTCACCGTGACTCTATGGGACAGACCAGAACTGTCCCACAAGATTTCTAAAGCTGTAATCTTTACAGAAGTAGGCTGTCACATCTTTCTCCCACAAATCGGCTGGTGGGTTCAAACTGTGACCTTTCGATTAGCAGCCAAGTTATTTAGTCACTGCGCCACCTTGGCTCCTTTGCACCACCCAGGGACTCCTAATTAGTCAATAAGGACTAGCTAAGATCGAATCTCCAGGAGAAAAAAAGGTCTATTCTCTTTAATTGTACCAGTTTAGAGGCATACTTTAACTGTCAAGTCTTGACTAAAACTAGAAAAGTACACTTAATTTTTATTAAGTTATGGAAACAAAGCCATAACATTAAACATCAATTAAAAAAACTTACCATCACCTCCAAATCCATTATATCCACCATCACCTCCTCCATAACTACCTCTGCTGCCACCACCTCCACCATAGCCTCCTGAGAAAAAGCAAAATATTAAAACCACGTATTCAACTTACCAATGAATTTCAGGTAGGCATGTACTTAATGATATCAGATAACCATCCTACCTCTTCCACCGAAGTTCCCACCACGGCCAAAGTTCCCTCCACCACCTCCGAAGTTTCCTCCACGACCCATAAAGTTGCCAGATCCACCTCCACGACCTTTTAACACATACAAGATAACTTTAAGGACCTTACAAACACCACTCACATCTATTGTGTATGTGTGTACAGTCCTACTCACCTCTTTGTGATCCAGCAGACTGCATCTCTTGTTTAGAAAGGGCCTTTTTCACTTCACAATTATGCCCATTAATAGTGTGGTATTTCTGAACTAAAAAATTTATTAATCAAACAAACAAGTTATTTTTATGTTGTTTCACAATCACATATAAATGATATCCTTTATCACTGCACAACTAATTAAAACATCAAGGTAATGACTAAGTATGAAGAACTGTTCTAAGATGTTAGAAACATTTGTCTTGATCTGGATGTTGGTTACACGTCATCACTTTGTAAAAACTAAACTATGTACTTTACACGCTATAATGCACATTACAAAAGTACAAGCAACTCAGCAAATTTAATACAGAAGAGAAACCATTTCTGCTACCTCATTCCAATTCCAATAAATTGCTACTTACCAACAATTTTATCGACTGTATCATGATCATCAAAGGTTACAAAAGCAAATCCTCTCTTTTTTCCACTCTGCCTATCTTCCATAACTTCTATGGTTTCAATCTTGCCATACTTTTCAAAGTAGTCTCTCAAATTATATTCTTCTGTATCTTCTTTAATGCCACCAACAAAAATTTTCTTCACTGTTAGATGGGCACCAGGCTTTACAGAATCCTACAAGTAAAAAATACGTAAGTCAAAAAACAGCTTTTCACACCAATTTCGCACATTACACAGCATATTATTAAAATACCTCTCTAGAAACAGCTCTCTTTGGTTCCACTACACGCCCATCAACCTTGTGTGGTCGTGCACACATTGCTGCATCCACCTCTTCAACACAAGAGTAAGTCACAAAACCAAAGCCCCTGGAACGTTTTGTTTGGGGGTCTCTCATCACCTACAAAACAAAAATTTTAAAGCATTAAAACACACCGCAGGTCACTCTTTACCCCTAACAGTGTTTTGGTTCCGATAGTAACTTACCACACAATCTGTGAGTGTGCCCCATTTCTCAAAATGTTCTCTTAAACTATCATCTGTAGTTTCAAAGCTCAGACCACCAATAAACAGCTTTCGCAACTGCTCTGGTTCCTTTGGATCATGGCCCTGAGGAAAAGAACCAATGCTTTAATAGGCCCCATCGTTTCATATAACCAAGTAATTGCTTAGGCACACACACAAACCAAAAATAATATACTCAACATCAAATTCCTGTAACAGTAACACACTGTCCAGTTAAAAATTGGCGTAGGAATACAGTAAGCAACCGATTAAGTTAAAGGAACTAAATGGTACCAAAATACCTATAACCAGCTTTTCAAATGTGAACAACACCTCAACTAAATTGAAATCCAAGAATTCCAGAATCAAAAATCCCTTAGTTTTTTTAAGTTACAAGTTAGTGTCTTGGGATAGATTTTAAGTTGTAACTAAGAACATCACTTTCTAGGAAACAAAACTGTTATAGAAACAGTGCTATATTATCCGTGCCGTTACTTTTCATATCCTCCCTCTGTACCTACAAACCAACAAGCGTTTAATTTTAAATCACAAATCTAAGAATACAACTAAAAAGTTCTGACTGGCAAATTTAGAGAAATCCAGTAGTTTCAAGTAAAGGAATGTTGATATTAAAATAGGAATTAACTGGCCCTTGTCCCTAAAACCTGAAAGAAAAATAATCCCCACCACTTATTTGATAACTTTCTGTTCCAAAGTATGTTTATTTGCTGCAAAAATCATCTTTTTGTGCTTTTATCATATGGGTAAAAATTTCCAGTACAACACATTTTTACAAGGTCACAACAAATAAGCTGGATTAATAACACGTACTGCCTGACCAGAAAAATGGAGTACAATAAAACAGAAATTGATTTTTTTAATCAAGATGTAAACTAAATTGTTTTACAATTTAACTAGTCAAAGGCGTTTTAATAAATTAATGAGCTGCCATTTAATGCATGCACTAAGATCTCATTCATCCAGTCTTTAAATGGGCTCACACTCCCATTCTAATGTCTTCCTACTGTATCAGTAGTGGAGATGTTAAGGCACTTATTTAATCAAAGACTCACATGCTAGAGAAAAATGTTATATAATTAATAGTCTCCAGCATTAATTCACTCTCATCTTCTCAAGTCTGTTAAGTTAAAATCCACATAAAATTACCATAAACACACAAAAATTTCAACTACGGTTGCAGTTTTCTAAAACAGCCAAGAAAACTACAACCAGAGCCAAATCATGAGAACGAGAAAGCTAGGAGATCACATTTTTTTTAAGTTCCTACTTCACATCTACACTCAGTAAGAGTACATCACCCACATGGCGAACTGTGAAGATAACAATAACTAAGTACTTGAACAAGAATAGCAGAATCAGGAAGTATTTTAAGGCAGTAAACTTTTAAAAAACCTCATTTTCAACTGGGTGCTGCGAAAAAAACAACAGGTCAGAGAATTAACGAAGTCTCCACGCCGATGAGAGATCTGTACGGCCTAGAAACGCCCCGGCAGAACTTCAACGAAAGCAGTACGCTTCAAGCTTTGAGGCCATTTGCGGCATTTTCTGCCGGGCCGCCTCCTCCATCTTCCCTGCAATCCCGCGCTCTCGCTGCCGGCGGCGGAGCGAGGCGGCGGCCATTGCGGGCCAATGCGCCATTTCGTAACGCGGCAGCGGATCAATGTCAATGTGGCCGCCGCCCGCCTGCTAGCTCGCCCGGATGTGCCTGCTCGTCTCGTCCTGTCCCCTCCCCTCCCCCACCACCTCCTCCCAACCGCTCCCGCCGAGGCCCGCCATGCCGCTCTCGGCCTCCGATCGGAGACCGCGCGGCCGGCTCCCCTCCCGAGGCCCCCTCAGTCACGCCACGCCTCCGAAAGGCCGCTTGTGCGGCCAAAAGAGAAGGCGAAGAGGGCGAAAGGCCCCGAGGAGGCCTCCAAGGCCTGCTCCCCTCCCCCTCCCACCGCCTGTCTCAACGCAGAGCGCGGGACGGCCGACCCACTCCACCCGGCCTCCCCGCTCCCACCGAGCCCGGCCCCCCACGCCGGCCACTACCCAGCAACCCCCCGCTCTCCCCCTAATACCTCCTCCCCCCGGCGGCGACGGCGACGGCCGGAGTCGGGCTGGGGGCGACCGGGCGGCGGTTTTACCTCCATTTTGAGACCGGACTCGCCTCTTCCAACTCGGGTTCAATATGAGACCGAGGAGGAAGAGGCGGAGCTAATCGTCACGTGACGCACTTTCCGCGCGCCGCCGGCCTGATGGGGGAGGGGCACGCTGGGAAAGGGGCGGGGCCAAACGGGCGCGAATAGGGACTGGATGAACGAGTTGGCGGGCACAGGGCGGGGGCACGGTGGGCCGCGGGAGCGCGCGCGCCTTCCCAGCCTTCAGAGCGGCGCCGCCCTTGCCACTCTTCGCGCCGGAGCGGCTGCTGGGACGTCAGCCTGGGCTCCTCCAATGCTGAGAGCCCACGTCGAGAACGCCTCATGACCGCTCGTCACCAGAGAGAAAGGCCTTTCTTCTCGCGCCTCTTTCCCCTCCCCCACACAAGCTTTTTGGTCTCCATTCCCGAATTCATTCCATTCCGGTTTCTGACATAAAATGAAAACCACAGATTTGTCTTTCCTGCACTTTAAGGTTACAAGAACGCCTTCTCGGCCTCTCGGCATCTCGCCCGTTTCTAAAATGCCAGGGACGAATTTTTGAGACTGCGATGTCCACCTGAGACATTTTCGTACTGAAAATCCCTGCAATATCCACATGTATGAATTACGAGCACCTTGGAAAGGCCTCGAAACTTTGCAGACACTGAATTTTTACCCTTAACGAGCTGAGGCGGGAGTGGTCGAGGTCAGTTCATTAGGTACTCATTGATCTCAAGAAATCTGTTGGCACTATATCCGAACACTTTTCCTAGTTCCCGTTGAAAGACCTGAGGCATCTGTTCTAGTGCATGGAATCTAAGGAGTTCATTGATTTGGAAGATTAACAAGCAGGTCGCCAGATATGCCACCGTTTCGCGAGTGATTTTTTACTTTAGTGTGATCATTTCCAATTGTGTTGTGACATAATGAACTGAGTGAAGGAGTTAGAAAGCTGGGGTCTAATCCTTTATTGCTCACTAACTAGCCAAGTGATTTTGAATCATTTAAACTTACTGAGCTTTAGTGGGGTTATTTTTGTTTTTTTTCTTTCAATGAAAATGGGGATAGGATTAGATGATTTTCAACACACAGCTGTAAGTTCACAGTCTACGGATCCATATTTGAACAAAGTTACAGATGAAAATAACCACAATTGAGAAGTCTTCCTACCCGACTAGAAGATGCCCTATGTTTTAATTTAGCAATCCATGTAAGTTAACTGCTTTAGAATTGGTTTGGCGCTCCCTTCCTAAGATTGAAAATCTAATCCATTATATTGCAAATTCTTTTTTAAAAAGTTTGTTTTAACAAATGGGGAGTGGTCTGCTTGGTATCTAGAAAAAGGAAGGGCAAAGAGGAAGATTTATTGATGTTTATCTAACTCCAGGGGGACAGGAGTTGTATTTGACAAAGTGTATTTTGTTTTGAGGCAGAAATCAGTCACCAAGTGTAAAAACGGTGTGGTGGGGGCATCTCACCTACTCTAACTTCACAAGCAGGAAGGAGAATCAAGAGCAATAGCCCCAGGCTGATTCCAGTGTGGTGGAGGGTAGACATGTCTCCGTCCTCCAACCTTTTACCAACTTGGACACCGGCCGACCGTTCCAAAGCACTCTCTGCTTCTCTACTAGGTTTGATAATTTATTGCAATGGCCCCACAGAACTCACAGACAATACTCATGATTGTGGGGTTTAGATTACAATTCAGGTTGAGGAACGCTCAAGATATAGTTCTTCAATCAGGACAGCCTCTTCTCAGCCGTGCCTGTAAGCACATCTTTCTCTGGCCTCTGGGCCTTATGCCCTACTCAGGCAAGTGTTACAAAGCTCTCTTAGCACCAAGGATAGGTGCCCAGAGGCACCCCCACCCAGCCAGTAAGCCTCAACCAGAAGGCGCTTGGCTCTCTGAGTGGATCAGCACACCTACTGTAACCACCCTGCTCCTTGGGCCTCCTGGCCCACCGCACTGTCTCTTGGCGTTCTTCTGGTTTGGCTGCCTCTGCTGCCACCTTTTCTCTGCCACTGTTTCTTACTGTCTTTTGCTGTCTCTGGTGTTACAGTTCTCTTTCTTTCTCTGTCTCCTAGGTGTAGGAGGTCTTAGTGCAGGGATCCTGGGTCCAATGGATGCACTCCACTTCTAGCTCTAATATCTTGGTGGTAGTAGGTCCCCCTCTGCTCTGGGCTTGACTGCTCTTTTAAGCCTAGCAGGATGGCAAAACTGACCAGTCCTCTTATTAGGATTCCATATACTTTATTTGCGTGGTCTCACCCCAACAAGGATGCCATGCACCGTATTTACGTTATTAGCAAGCTATGCAATCCTGTTGGTGGGCCACACGCACCTCATTTGCGTAGTCCCACTCAGTCATTTGGTTGGAGTTACAAGACTATGGCTAAAAGGGATATATTCAGTAATTCATTGCACCGTACCAGGCCTTAATGTAATTTGGAAGAAATTAACCTCCAGACTAGCCTCCTCCTGTTACTCTGATTTCCTTATTACAAACAAACTTTTGTTTATGTATTCAACTTACCAAATACTCCTGGTAAGCTAACGACAGTAATTTAGACAATGGAAAAATGTATACTCTTGGTGTCTGGTTAATATGTCAAGGTTTTGTGAGCTTGATTACTATAAAACAGTTCTGGATAACTTGATCAATTCTGGGTTCATGGAAAAACACAAAGTTAAAGACTTTAGGAAGCTAATATTGATACCAATATGAGACATTGCAAGAGGGATCAAGTAGAGTGATCACCTTGCTTCACTTAAGGGCATGTCTAGATGTTTGCCAACACCAGTGACTTGTGTTGTTCTTATTCTTCCTTCTTTGAATTGTATTACATTTTTAGATTAATTTGAGAAATGACGCAGGATGGAATACTAAGTTTATCCATCCAGAACATGGTATGTCAGTCCATTTATTTAGGTCTTGCTTTTTGTCCTTTAGTAAAATATGGATTTCTCCCTTTTGATTCATCCAGATTTGTTGTTCATCCAGACTGTGTGTGGTTTTTTAGACATTAGCTATTTTTTGTGTTTTTGTTTAAGCTTATGCTCCAGACCTGGAGCCGCATAGTACCTCAGATATAAAAATCCCTGCTCTAGTTCTTGATCCTATGTGACACAGACTTGATCCTTGGTTGCTGTCTAGCCTTGCAGTCCTGGCTGTCATTGAAATGAGAGAAAAGAGGGAGTGTATGGAGTGGAGAGGAGGGAATATGAGTACTAGAGTAGGCCGCAGTGGCAGACACTTTTATAAGTGATCAACATCAGGGCGTCCCAACTTCTTTCATATCATGGCACATATGGAAAATGATAATTTTATAGCACACTAGGATAAACTGGACTTACTGCATTGGGCAAACCGGCTGCAAAAGACCTCTTTTTTAATATTTTTTAATTTTTTCCCACACAAAAATTTATACATTGTTATGTGACCCTAATTGCTCTCCCCATACTGTGACAGCACACTCCTCCTTTCCACCCCTGATTCCTCATGTCCATTCAACCAGTGCCTAACCCTCTCTGCCTTCCCATCTCACCTCCAGACAGAAGCTACCAGTTTAGTCTCTTCTATCTACTTGAGCTAAGAGGCACACTCCTCACGAGTGTCACTTTACGTCCCACAGTCAAGCCCAATCCCTGTCTGAAGATTTGGCTTTGGAAACTGTTTTAATTCTGGTCTGATAGAGAATCCAGGGGCCATGCTTTCCGGGGTTCCTCCAGTCTCAGTCAGACCATTAAGTCTGGTTTTCTTACTAGAATTTGAGTTCTGCATCCCACCTTTCTCCTGCTCCATCAAGGACTCTCTGTTAAGTTCCCTGTCAGGGCGGTCATTGGTGGTAGCCGGGCACCACCTAGTTCTTCTGGTCTCAGGCTGATGAAGTCTCTGGTTTATGTGGCCCTTTCAGTCTCTTCAGCTAATACTTTCCTTGTGTTTTTGGTGTTCTTCATTCTCCTTTACTCCAGGGAGTTGGGACCAATTGATGCATCTTAGATGGC